CTCTGTGGGAAAGATCATACAGTGTGCTTCCATAAAGATTTACAGCCTTGGAAACCTGATGAGGCACTTCTACTATGTCCTATAGTGTCTCTATGAGTCAGAATCGACTCGACGGCAGTGAGTTTTGGAACTTAAAAGGTATCTATTACATTAGGCCTTTCAAAAACCAAACTCACTGCCATCAAGTCAATCCTGACTCATAGCAAGCTCCATTGGGTTTCCAAGGCTGTAAACCTTTATAGAAGCAGACTGACTCATCTTTTTTCCATGGAGCAGCTGGTAGGTTCAAACCATTAGCCTTTTGGTAATAGCCAAATGCCTTAACCAGTACAACACCAGAACTCCTTAAATTTGGCCATTAGGAGCAATAAATTTCGAAGTACGCTTGGGTGGACATTTGGTCCCAATAAATCAAAAGTTGGCTTTGAGATGAAGAACTGAAAACAAATGAAACTTACTCCTCTGTAAGCCTGGTTACAAAAAGGACAAAGAAGTGAGAATGAGGGATGTAGTTTCAAGGGACCAATTTTGTTTTGTTTTTTTTTTTTGCATGAGAAAGATTAAGTGTAATTTTAAAGGGAGAAGTAAATAAGTATACAATCTCTTTTATATGCCCTGACTGTATTTAGGGTTTTATTTATTTATTCATTTGTAAATTTTTTATTGAGTGCTAATATACATGAGGAGCTAGTTTAGATGTTAGGGATACTGTGATGAACAAAATAATATCCCTCCTCTCATGAAGACTGTGTTGCCCCCTCTTGGTTCTTAAACAAACCTCTTAAAGGAGGAAATATCACTGACCTCTTTGGAATCCAGCCAGGCGGGTCTCTGCACTCTGCCTGCGAACACTTCAAACCCATGTGACCTTGTTGTTGTTGTTGTTGTTGTTGTGTGCCATTGAGTCAGACCCAACCATGTGATGAGGTTATTTGGTCTGCCACCTCCTGTAGACTGGGTGTTCCTCCAGAACAAGGACCAAAGCCTTCTTGTCTTTGCATCCTCAGATGCACCAGTTGCCATCGAGTCAGTTCCAACTCATGGTGACCCTATGTGTGTGTTAAGGTAGAACTGAGCTCCATAGGGTTTTCAATGGCTGGTTTTTCAGTTGATTACCACCAGTCCTTTCTTCCAAGGTGCCTCTGGGTGGATTCAAATTGTCAACCTTCCAGTTGGCAGCTGAATGCATTACCCTTTGCATCATCACCCAGTGACTACTTCCCAGGAGCCTGGCAAAGAATGCGATCAGGGAGGAGTCTGTTTGTTTTTAACCTCAGAAGGCTGTTCAACATGCTACATATTTTGCCCAAAGTCACAGAGAAAATGTCAGGTCTGGGCAGTGCTGGGAAGAGGGCTTGATGATGTTCAGTCACAAGCACCACAGGGCCAGCTAAACATTTTCATTTTAAATAAACAGTTTTTGCTAGAATATTCTTTTCTGTAGTGTCTAAAAGGTCAGAGAGAGAATAATATACTTATTTAGAAATGAGAAACATACTTCAGGAATTTTTCTTTATGATATGTGATATTATGAGCTCCTAGATGATCCATGTCTTTCAGTTGATTGCTGAAATCACCAACTATCCCCTGGGAAGCAATTGCTGTGGTGTCTTCTGTCCTAGACACCCCCACACCCAGCCCTCACCTTGGAGCCACACAGACACAAGTCATACAGATTGCTCCAGAGAATCTACCCAAAAAGTAACCTTTCCTTCTTCCTTATCCTTAACCACCAGCTAAGGGAGTCCTTCCCTTCTTACTTTTCTCTGTCCTCAGAATCAGGGTTGAGAACGAGCCATTTCCTTTCATATCTTCCCACTCCTTCCACCAAGTCCTTAGGAGTCCTGGAGCAATGACAAGCTCACACTGCCCCCTGCTGGCCCATCCACTCACTGAACAAAGAGGGTACATTCACTCTTCCCCTTTCTACTTCCACTGCTGTCACTCTATGTTCCCACTCTTACAACAAAAGCAAAGCAACAGAATGCCCCCAAAAAAAGTCAAATGTCTTTATTTTATATATAAAAAAAAAATTTGTACAGTTTTAGTTCCTATGTTTAAGGGGGGGAAAAAAAAAACTAAATTTGCCATAATGTTTAGATCCACTGCAAACTGTAAAAACAAGCTCTTTATATATTTAAAAAAAAAAAAAAAATTTACATTTTACAATTTTCTACAGGCATGCACAAGGTCTCAGCTCTGTAACCCAAAAAAAGAAAAACAAAATCTAGATCCGATAGTGGAAAATTCTACATTTACAATCTCACTTGGAGGGGACTCAAAAAAAAAAAACCCCTTCCTTTCACGCACAAAAGGACTAATCACAACACTCACACACCAGGACTGAATCCATCAGCAGGTACTGTCCCAGCAGTGGAAGGAGAAGACGGACAGACTGACGGACACCACAGAGAGGCAAGGGAGCTCATCTGGGCCCAACTGAGAAGGAAAGAAGCGGAAAAAGTCCCAGGGATCCTGATGTCTCATCCCAGGTGTTGTAGCAGGATTTGCAGTACAGAAGGGAAGGGTCAGGAAGTGAACAATTAAGGGCTGAAATGGAGGAGGACAGGAAGAAGAAAATAAAAGACTACAGATGGAAATATGCAGGAATAAGCAAGAGAGCACAAAAGACTATTTTAGGAGAACAGGACCAGTGGAGACAGTGGCAGAGTGGCGAGGTAGGTCAAGGACTGAGGCACAGTGTCCTGATGTGAAGAAGAAGAGGGCAGGTGTGCCAAAGAAAAGGGAAAGGCTGCCTAAATAGGTATGGTGGGGGGAGCTAGGATACCATGTAGTCATAGAAAGCAGAGGCCCAGCTACAGCATCCCCTATATCAATATGGGAAGGGGGCTGTAAGAAGTGGACACACCTTCCTACCCCACTGGATGCCCTGGTAGAAGGAGGAGAAAATCCAGCAAGTAGTGGGACAGGCAAAGTGGGGAAACTGCTCAGAGGGCCTGAGTCCGCTGCCTGCCCCACAGTAGTTCACAGCATGGAGACAGCTTCCCATGAAGGAGAAGCAAAAGACAAACACACATCCATACGCTTGACAGTTCATCCTGACGTTTTAACAAATAATAATAATAATAATAAAAGGAGACAAAGATACCACAGTTCTGACGCAAAGGACCAAAATGCTACCATTCTCAGTCACAGCCCTTAGTGCTTAAAAGAGATTGCTGGGGGAAACAATTTCTTCTTGTAGGAAAAAGGAATGAAAATATCACAGTGATTAAAAACATGGCAGGTTATTCAAATTAACACTCCCCTGCCCCTAACCTCGGGCAGCCACTAAGATCCCAAACATATTCCCTCTCCCCATCCCAACCCACTCCTCAAACCACACTCCACTCCTGCCCACAGAAGGCAGTGACCCCACAATCACCATCCAAGCCCCATTTTCCAGGATAGTGAGGTATTTAGAAATGTGACCCAGAGGGCCTCCTCTGAAACCAGGTTTTTGAAGAGAAGGAAAAAATACCTTCCCAGGAGCCCCAGGGCAGGATGTATTTCCACAGGCCTCCCCAAAGGCCCACAGCCCCAGTCCAAGACTGATCGGGAGGCCTGGCCTGAAGCCAGCCCTGCAGCTCAACCCACAGAGACAAGGCAAGCAGTGGCTGAAGAGGCCTCTCTAGTAAGTGGTAGAGGGGATGGATGTGCCTTTTCAGAAAAGAGGAGCAGCAGAAAAAACCCTGGTCAGCACTGGGCTTCGTCATCCCCAGGGCTGCCACACCAGAGAGGAGGTCTCCCTGAGGAGAGGTCAGTGGGAATCTCATGCCAGGGTACACCGCAACGCAAGTACCCAGTGAAGTGAGTTCTCCAGGGGAAAGGAGGGCCTATCAAGGGTGTTGTGTGTGTTTAGAGGACTGACTTAGTGATCTGCTTTCATAAAGATTACAGCCAAGAAAACATTATGGAGTTCTACTATGTATGACATGAGGTCACTTCAAATCACAGTCCACTTGATGGCAATGAATTTGTTTGTTTGGCCCAGGTGCAGGCTCCATCCCTGCCATCAGAACTGGTGGTCCTCCACGTAGATCCTGGCTGGAGAGAAATGAGTGCTTCCTAGGTCTATACCCCTTGGCTAACACCACCTTATTTAAAGGTGTCTGGGTGCACATTTACACTGACAGTATGTAGTAGAGGGCCAAGGAATATTCCTCAGAATAAGCCCTAAATTAATGAGAAACTGGATTTAGTGCAGAAAGTATGGAAGCTAGATGGAGTCAGGGGCCGAGTGCCTACAAAAGGCAGCAATCCTGGTTCCTTACCCTCATACAGAGGGAGGCCAGAGCCCAGAGAACCAGGGTGGGAGAGAGAAGAGGGGATGGCTAAAGAAAGGAGAGCCCTGAGGCAAAGATCTGGACTTAAGGCAGGGGATGAGGAGGGGCTGCCGGCTCCTCCCCTACAAAGTTGAAGCTGTCTCTCTGAGAAGAGAGACAGCAGGACTGGGCGGCTTGTGAGGGAAAAGAAAACATTCATCTAAGACCACGGTGTTTGAATCCGGGTCTGCACACCATTACATTTGTACAGGATCCATCCTTCATTGGGAAGGATAAGGGTAGGTGCAGAGGGCAGCAGTGCCATCTACAAGATCCCTCTTAGGCCCCAGGGGTTTATCCTGCACTTCCCCTCAAGTGCTGCCTAGAAAGGACAATTAGAAGAAAGGTATCTTCCCCCTAAGGCTCAGAAAAGTGGTCAGAAGGTTTCTGCCTCAGTTTGCCTGTGGTCACACATGACCATACAAATCAGAAAAAGAAAGTGGAGATTTGAAAGAAAAGGAAGGCTCTTCCGTGCCCTAAGTAGATGCGGATGAGGGAAGGAGGCTCAAATAGCCAGAAGCAAATGACCGTGGCAGGGAGAATCCTAACAATTTCTTCTTGGGGCAATGTGGGAGGGCCCAGGAGCATCCGTGCCACAAGACCTCATGGTTTGGGACAGGTGGACTGAGTGGGCAGGAGGGACAGTTTAACCCTCCATCTGGAGTACACGGTAGCTGCTGCCCTGGAGGAGTTTGGCACCACATTTCTCCTGTCCTTGCCCCCCAGAGAAACACTTGCTGGGGCTACTGGAAAGAATCTCTGTAAGAACCTGGGTTTTGAGTGGGGTCTCAGGCAGGAGAAGGTACAATTGGCAGGGCCCTGCCCTTTCAGAAGAGATGGTCATCCAGGCAAAGTAGGGAAGGAGAGAGAGGCACTGATTCCTGCAGGGCCTAGAAGGATACAAAAGTGACGGGCAGGGGAAGAAAAAGCGGGGACTTCCCAGGTACTGTTGGCAGCAGGATGGTCTCTCAGGGTTCACATGGGGTAAAGCAAGGAAGAGGGTGGGGGTAAGTTAATTCAAGTAAAAAAACAAGAGCAAGAGGAAGAAAGGGGGCAGGAATGTGGCCAGGCCTGAGAACGAGCCCCTCTGCCACTCTCAGGAGCCCCCCAGAGTCTCCCACTTCCACTCCTGTTGCAGAGTCACACGGAAGTCTCAGACTGCAGCCTCATAACAAACTTGTGCGACTTGGGATCCACAAATTCCTCGGAGAGTTTGAAGAAAGGGACCTTCTTGGTGCTGACCACTAGGCTGAAGTCCTGGCGCTTTAAGAGGAAGACGATGCCATCCTTGAGCCCATTGGTCACTGGCTCCTCGCTTACCAGTGTCCACTGTTTGGCCAGCCAGCGCTCTTTGTGATACTGGATGGTGGGTCCAGCTGCCAGGTACCGCTCCAGGAAGGCCTAAGGAGGGAAGAATGGGCTGCATAGGAATCTCTCCCATCCATCCCATTATCTTTCATTCCCTGGGGACACAGCTTCTAAAGCTAACCAAGATGCCCCAGCTCATTCTATGTGTATAAATTAGAATCTTCCTTCTTCTTCATACCTCTGGTATGGTTAGCACCAAGCTGGTCTGCACCAGGAGGAAGTCAGAAGTGCCATAGTTAAATAGCAGCATCTTTTTTTTTTATTATTGTGATTTGGGTGAAGATTTACAGAGCAAATTCACTTTCCATACAGCAGTTCACATATACTTTGTCTCATGTCATTGACCACAGTTTACCACAATGCAACAGCTCCCCTCCCACTTCCTCCCCATAGTTAACACTTCCCAGTGTCCATCCCTCCATACTCTCCTGCCCCCTGAGCTGTCTCCCTGTGCATAAGCAGCCCTTCCTTCTCCCATGATTGTTCTCTCCAGGGCGTGTGTCTACTTGAGGTAAATGTTTAACTCATATGCCTGTACTTTGTTTGGCTGGAAACCACAGGTGTGGATTCAATTCCAGACCTGAAGGGCAGCTAGGGGCCATAGTCTCAGTGGTTCTACAAGGCTCTATTGGACCAGCAAATCTGGTCCCAACCATCTTTTTTTTTTTTCCTCCAAATGATTTTGAGTTTTGTTCCACATTGTTCTCCCTCTCTATCCAGGATCTCCTACATCCCTTCCAAGTGGATGACAGTGGTAGCCAGGCACCATCTAGTTCTTCTGGTCTCATAGTTGTATAGGTTGTTGATTGGATGGTGTACCAGTCATGAGGACTGATTATTTCCATTAATTTTGGTTTTCTTCTTTGCTCTTGACACGGAGAGACCCATTGTTGCATCTAGATGGCAGCTTGCTAGCTTTTAAGATCCCAGTCGCTACTCACCAAAGTAGGAGGCGGAACAATGTTTTGTATAGTATGTTATGCCAATTGAGCTTGATGTCCCCTGTGACTATGGTCCCAAGCCCTCAGGATCAACTACTCGGTCGCTCTGGGTAGCTGGCTGTGACCAAGCAGTGACCACAACCTTGCCCCTTGTCAGCTCTACTATACACCTGGGGATTCTGATCATTCACATAAACTTATAGGACCATTGTCTGCCAACCCTATATATGATCTTGGATACACTCCCTCTTTCATAGACATACCTAATCGTTTAGCTTGTCCACCTATCTATCCATCCATATACCCATGTTTGCCTTCACTTAGAACTCAGTACTGTATATGCAAAAGGGTTCATATTTGTTGTCTGTACTTCCCATGTACCTTTCTATGTCTTTCTCATCCTCAATGCTGCCATATTGGTCACTCACATTTGGTACGTTAAACTGCAGCATCTTAAGTCACCTGTTAACCAAAGGTGGCTCAGGGGAAGCAATTCTAGTTGGCGATAGAGTTGCGGGGTGGGCAATGGCTTAAAATGAGAAAAGACTACCTGGTGGAGGTGAATGTGGGACTCTGGATCTGCAAAAGGAACACTGAAATCCCTGAGCCCTTAGAGATGAGGAAATATCTGGACCATCACCCCAAGAACCATGGCCCCCTTCTCCTCATCCACCTGAGAACTTCATCCCATGCAGAAATGCGATGGTTATGACAGGGATGAGCAGAGACTAGAAGGAGGAGGAGAGAAAAAGAGTAAGGGACTAAGAAAGGTCTAAGGCTGGGAGAAAAGGGAAGGATGGTGGGGACAGACCGGGCTTACCTTAGGCGTCATGTCATGCGTGATGCAGAACTCAAGGTGCTGCAGGATGCTCTCCATGGTGTGGTAAGGCTGCTGCTTGGTGGTCCGAAGGTACTTCTGCATGGCACGGGCCATGGATGCGAAGATGGCCTGGGCTGCCTCCCGGGGGTCCATCACCTCCCTGGGGTTCTTCTGCTCCTCTTCCTGCAGCCGCTTAATATGAGTGAAGGCCTCCTCCACTGCCACCACAAGCCTAAGGGACAGGAGGGGTCTGGACCAGACACCCACCTCTCCTCTTGCCCTGGCCCCGGCCCTCCGGCAGCCTGAGCAAGATCAGGCCTCTGTGCTCCCCTGCTGAAGCAATAAAAGCCAATCTGGGGCCAAGGGCTGCACTCTTGGGAGGGACAGGTGTGTGTGTGTGTGTATCTGTGTCTATGTGTGTTTGTGTGTGTGTTTGTGTGTTTGGGTCATGAAAAGCTTTTAGTTCCCAGAGACAAAAAAAATAGCTGTAGAGCTCAATAAGCACAGCCCAAGGACTCAAAGAAAATAAACCTAGTGTCAAACCCAGAGACAATTAGGAACTGGCTATGGGAAAGACTGAGCATTCCATCAAACCCATGAACAAACCTTCTTAAATAAGATCCCAGAATCCTTCTTCATAAGGTGAAAAATGAATGTATTACATCAAAATTACAGATATCTATTCAACACACCATAGCACGGGAAACGTTATCTGGCATCTGACAGGGGAAATTACATGCAGCATATAAAACCAATGAAGGATTAATACCTAGAATATGCAAAGAATATCTAGAATTCAGTACAAATCAAGAGACAGTCAAGAACTCTATAGACAAGTGGACAAAGGAGGTGAACAGACAGCCTGATGGCTACCAAACATACGCAGTAGTCATTTGCTAATAATTAGAGAAGTACAAAGTAAAACAATAATGAAGTACTACTTATCCATCAAAATGGGGAAAACTAGGAAGGTGAATATGATCCAAATACTGAAGATGCTGGGAGCATTCTATGAACTACTACACAATGGTAAGATGCAACAAACTGGATTGTATATACAATGAGTGCATCTCAAAGCACAATGTTGGAGGGTGGAAAAGAAAAAGCAGGAAAAACAAATAAATTTACATTAAAACATACAGAAACAAACCAAAATTAAATTTGCACAAGGTTACATACACTTTTTTGTTTTTGTTTTTGTTTTTATTAGGATTTGGGTGAAGATTTACAGAGTAAATTCACTTTTCATACAGCAGTTCACATATACTTTGTCTCATGTCATTGACCAAAATTTACAAT